TTTATAAATATTCTACGACGTCTAATCGGCAATCACTCTTGATAAGTTCAAGTCTGTTTCTTAGGACACTCATTCAGTTACAATCATTCAACCTCTGGTATGGGATTATAGTCATATATATACTCGACCACTTATCATTACTATGGTATCTTACAATTCACAAAGTACAGAGAGAGCGACTCAATTGTATGTGTAAACAGATATTTATCGAAATGTAATCGTTCATCAGGAACTTACTCTTAATCTTTCATCGCACCAATGATTGGCCATCAGAAGAAGATGTGCATTCTAGAATGAACTATAAGAAAATATTGCATTTCAAATCATATATTTGGTATTTGACTCATTCACAAATATACGAACTGCTATGAATACGGCAATAATTCAGTATAACAAGTCAAAGTTCAATATATCTGATGTTGACAATGTGAATATTGTAGAATCTATTTTGAATGTTTTATTTTTGGAAAATCCCTCCATGCATATATATTTTTGTTATGACATGACGGACTCTTTCTGTTGACATTTCGGTATTTTATTTAATTCGATTTTGAGATTGTATCATTGTATATTGTTATTATTTCTATACTTTGTACTTATATTGAAGTTTTTATGTTTGCTTCTGAACTGTACACATGTTGTTTAAATTTGATATATAATATGGCTACAGCCATATTTGGATTTGATATCGTCGCAGTATACTAGCTTCACCTAATCTTTTGAACTCGGATACTCATCAGAGTAATTTCGACTTGGAAGGCGTAATAATTGTCAGTTAAATGTTTGCCTTTCCATTTCTTTTATATTAATAGACCACTTTCTCCTAGAATTATTGTGTTTTGATATTCGACTAAGTGAAGGTGCGTTCGACATACGTCTATTGAAATCGAATTGAACTGCTACGGTAGAAAATTCAGCTACAGTCTGACAATTATTAAGAACGAGTCATCTACAGTCTGACTTTTGATTAGAAGAACAGCTACAGTCTGACAATTAGGAAAAACAAGCCTACTACAATCTCATTACTATGAAGAATCAGGAAACATTTGGAAATTTAATCGTTTACAATAATAAACTTCTTGGAAGAAGAACTTTGGATTACTTATCTTTTCTTTTCATCGAACTGTATTTTGGAAAACGATTTTCTGATTTTGGATTTTCATTGACGAGGATTTACCGGTGGAATTTCTATATTTTGTATCTGTTATTTATCTTCCGTTGAATTTCAATTTATTATGAGCTGTCGAAAGAAAACAAACACGAAGAGAGTGGAAGAGCATGAAGAATCCCGAAATGCTATGCAAGTCGTTTGTGATTCTTCTTGTTTAATGGGTCCATTTTCCACCAGTAGTGATGTTGTGTTTGATACTTATTATTTTAAGTCACCTTTAGAAGGCATTAAGGAACAAAATTTGGGCGAGAATTCTAAGGTACCAGAGAAGGATCAGATGCTTAGGACACCGATAGTAGGCTTAGAATTACCTAAGGTTGAACTCCTATACTTTGACGGCAAACACCGAGACTACTTTAGGTTCGTTAAGCAGTTTGAATCGTTTATAGAACCTAGAGTAATGGATGATAATTTGCGTTTATTATATTTAACTCATTACTGTAAAGGAAAAGCAAGAAATGCGATTGAAGGTTGCCTTATAGTGGAACCACAAGTGGGACATAGAAGAGCTAAGGCTATTTTAAAGCAGCTCTTTGGACAATCGCATGTGATAGCCCGTGAAACTTTGGAGGACTTGTTTAGAACTGGAAATGCGGACTATAATGATCCAGAAAAATTGACGGAATTAGCAATTAAAATGCAAAACGTTGCTCTTACCATGTAACAGTTAAATTGTATTGCAGAACTAAATTCTCCAGTAAATTTAGAACGAATAGTTAGGCTCTTACCTCATCGAATGCAGGCTCAGTGGGCAGAGCTGGGAATTAAGTGGGACGAAGAGGTAAGAGAACCTAATTTCAATGAATTGACGGATTTTATTATGTCTCGTGCTAAGATAGCTAGTAGTAGGTTCGGAAGATTAGCTAATCGTGCTAAAACAGGACATAATACGGAAGCTATTAGTGACCTGCATGCGAGACATGAGGATTCTCACACCCGGAATTTAAGAGAGTTGTCAATTGTATCAGAAAAGTATACCACATTGAAAGCCGAGTATGTGACCGCGATGATTTAAAACCCCTTGATGCGTATCCCAGTAAGAAGCCGGTTTGTGTAACAGATAAGATGGCTATTTTAAGTATGGAAAAGAAAGGAAAAGGCGAAAAGGGTAGGCATCAGAATGGATCCGAGGTGTGTGATGGTAAAAGCCTCTTAACTCCTCGAAAAGCAAGGAACGGTTATTTGGATTCGAGTAAACAGAGGTTAATGAGTTCAGTGACTATGAACAAGGCCGAGGCAGGATTGTCTGGACGGAATAAAGCCTATGTTCGGAACCCTTCACGTAGGGTAAATTATATAACGGGACCTAGAGTTGATTCTAGGAAAACAAGTGTAAATAGTGACACATCATTTCATGTTGCTGAGCAATCAGGATGTCTGCAGGCTACTGTACCTAGTTCTATAGAGCACCATGATATTGAAGAGGAAGATAATAGCAGCTTGGCGCGTCCTCCTGATGTTTGTTTACGGTCAACGGATGGTCAGTTGTACACTGGTCCAAGTAGTTACTGAAACATTGAAAGTGTTAGTGAAAGTGATAGCATAGCTTTAAAGCCTGCATGCCAACTATCTTGCAACTCGTCATTAACTGTGGATAGTCGTAATAACATTGTGGACAACAAAAACGTCAAGGTGGAAGTGAAACCTGATGTATCTAATAATAATAGTGTAGTTGATGTGAATAATAAACGTGGTGGTAACAATAGTGGAATCACTACAGGTAGTGCTGTTTCTTCGGTTGATGTTGCTAATGTAGCTTTTTTGAGTACTTCGTATCAAGACGAAATTTGATGTATGAGAGTGGAGAATGTAGGTGTCGAGGGCAATAGCTTTACCCACAGTGATGGCAGTACTGTGAGGGCTAACATTGGGTACCCTAGGTGCAATGAGGAGTCATCTAGCTTTCATGGACATGCTGTTGTGTTGAATATGCAGAATGAGGAATCAAGCATGGAATTGTCTACCTGTCGCACTACACCATCATTGACTTGTACCACAGGTATCGGAATGAGCACTACCAACAGTGATAAGATAGATCAGGTTAAGAGCATTCCTAGTAAGGAAAACAATGTTGATCGAGCAGAGTTAGCCACTGTACATGAGTCGACTGAATGTCATGAGAAGTGTACTGCTGCTTGTACAGCTGCTGCTACTAATGATAATAGCATTGATGATACTCCTGCGAGTAATAGTGATCGATGGAAGTTGAAACACACTCATTGTCGTCGAAATGATCGTACGTTACGCTCACATACTGCTACCCAAGCTAAAAAGCATAAGAAACAACATGATGCTACTATTATTAACAAGCGTAAACTTCGTTCTCTTTCGGATGTTATGACTAGCAATGCAAATATTAGTCATCAGAATCTTAGTAGTGACGGCGATAGTAAAGAGACAGAAAGTGTCAGCAGTCCATCTAGAGTGACTAGTCGATCAACTTCATCGAATGAGCCTTCTAGTGTTTTGACGTCGTCGGTCTCTGACGCCAATGTTTAGTTGATTGAGGAGACACAAGGTTTTGCATCTGTAACTGTTCCTACTTCGGTTGACTGTCAGTCGAGTGATGATGAGAAGGAAGCGTCTGATGGTAACTGTCAGTCTACAGTGTTGCATGATAACGATGCTATTGATGTGTTCATATGGGTTATTTGGATAACGTTCATACTACCGTTAGGTCATGCTAAGATAGATAGGGCAATCAAGGGCCTGATGAGAATGTACAGGTGCCTAGTTAGCTTAATAGGTCATATCCATGTTGGAGGACGGGTAGGCGTACTGCTGTAAGTCCTACTCGTTCTTCCGGTGTGGATTAGGGGATGAGAGTGAACCCAAACTTGAAGTGTCGATAAGAACTTGTCTTTTGCATGGAGGGATTTCGCGGGCCGGTGTAGAATCCTTTTTGAATGTTTTGTTTTTTGAAAAATCCCTCCATGCATATATATTTTTGTTATGACATGACGGACTCTTTCTGTTGACATTTTGGTATTTTATTTGATTCGATTTTGAGATTTTATCATTGTATATTGTTATTATTTCTATATTTTGTACTTATATTGAAGTTTTTATGTTTGCTTCTGAACTGTACACATGTTGTTTAAATTTGATATATAATATGGCTACAGCCATATTTGGATTTGATATCGTCGCAGTATACTAGCTTCACCTAATCTTTTGAACTCGGATACTCATCAGAGTAATTTCGACTTGGAAGGCGTAATAATTGTCAGTTAAATGTTTGTATTTCCATTTCTTTTATATAAGTAGACCACTTTCTCCTGGAATTACTGTGTTTTGATATTCGACTAAGGGAAGGTGCGTTGGACATACGTCTATTGAAATCGAATTGAACTGCTACGGTAGAAAATTCAACTACATATGTAATGCAACTGCATTCGTTTTGGATGATATTATTTTAATAATGAATTGGCTGACTTCTTTTCATTCGACAGTGCTTTTACGTTTTTGCTGTGATCCTGATATGTCTTCTTGCATGAATCGATAAAATGATGACAGCAACAGAGCACATTAAACATAATTGTCGGTTTTTGTTTATTGAAAGAAACACTACCCTCTGTCCATAAGTTCGTGTATCAAAAATTTATCAGTATAATTGTGTTCACAAACTACTGAAAAGTGGTTCGTTCAGATGACACGACATGAGATATGATGGAAGCATTTATCCATTTTATTTTTCCTGTATATTTCATGACGTTTGGGTATTAGGTGGCAAATATATATATTGTTCTATAACGTCAAAATTGTAATCACTTTCAATACGTTGAAGTTGATATTTCACGACAACTCACTTTTTGTGTGGTTTTGCAGATTATACTTAAAATGCTGAAGACTATTCCAACTGTCACTGATACACAGCCAACTGAAAACAATATGATCCTCCATTTTGCTATAGAATGTTGCGATCTTTCACCCGACATAATAGCCAAAATCCATAATTCAAGTGGCACAATTGCCGGAATGATCTGTTCATACCATTCACCACATAAAGTTAATAATAAAACACCGATAGTCATCATCATCAACTGGAAAATAAACAACAAACATGTTATTTTATAGTAACTGCAGTTTCAAAGCCGTTTACAATTAGACACATTACTAAATAACACCTGGTCAAGAATGGTTCTCAATTAGGATGCCTAGAAGTTAACTTGTCTTCCAAGGAAAAGTATTTTAACTGTTGCTCATCCAGGTGTGCCGTACTGAAATTCAGTGATTTTCCTTCAAAGAATATTCATATTCATTGCACATGTGAATATAACATCACCATATTCATTTAACAAATATTACACATGAAAATTGAAACCAATTTTAGAGCACAAAAAGCAACCTTATCAGCCGTACAGAACTTCTAATTTGAACATCTGATTATGACCTACACACTGTGGAATCACAAGCTTGAATATATGCAGAATAATATGAAACAAATAAAAATGATAAAACGTCAAACGAGTTTATTTTAGTGCTTCTGTGAGTTGACGTTATCACAGCTGCAATGCATAAGGTGATTCCAAAAAACTTTCATTTATATATTCACACAGTCTTCTATAATGCACAGTCAATCTCAACTCTTCAATCTTCTTCTTCATTTCTCCATCAGAAATTTTAAAAGTTATCCTTGAATGCTTAATAGCTCTGATTCATCTCATACTATCAGATATATCATCAGTATTGTATATCAGAGTAAATCCTGGCAAAGAGTCAATCACAAAAGAGTATATGAAAACTGAACAAAAATGCACACGAAATTATAAACATCATTTGGAATCATATTGAACTAACGGTTATAATCATAATTACGGTATTCATTTTAGATTCGGTGTGCAATGCTTTGATGAGTATGATGATGCTTGCCAACATTAGAGCGATACATCTGAAATGTGAAAATAAATTTCGAAACCAAATAAACTGACGTGTTCACTGAGCACACTACGAGTTTTTACGAGTTACCTCTATGTGCAACAAATGTTCAGCAGTTCAGATGAGCAACTTATTTATATGGATGTGTTCAAGACATAATCAAACAATTCGGCAATGAGAATACTTTAGAAATGATTGTCATGGTGACTGGTTATCAGTTACTTTTAACAATGCAAACATTTTCTACTGAGATCCTCTCATTGTTATTTGGTTTTGGGATTGTGTATTGAAGAGATAATCACAATTGATCGATTATTTCAAGAGACGATCACAAATAATTATGTACAAAATCACGCAGTCGAATCATTCATGTTTCATTACTTACATTAGAACGATACCAGATATGTGATGTGGCTGAGCCAGTATATTTGAGTTGAATCTGTCAAGTGGATTAGTGAATTCTCAATCAACCTCAATTACTTACATGCAACCATTTGTTTTGCGGCAATAATCATTGTCAATTACAAATGGTGTTCCACAATTTTTCACGGTAGAAATATATGCGTCGGGTAAATTCATTAACTTCATCTTCTAATAAATTGGTAGAAATTTAAGATACAAATGATCATGATCGATAAATACATGGAAATACAAGAAAGCTTAAATAATCTCTTTAGCCCTTATAACCTCTTATCAATGGTATATAAACATATATGCATTTGTAAACGTGTTCTACACGGCAGAAACCTATTTTGACATGAATGGGTTATGCGCTGTTTTCAGCAAATCTTCCTGTCCACGACTATATCTGCATATCTATCTATCTATCTATCTATCTATCAACTTACCAAACGGCCTATCTATTTATGTACCTTTCTTAACGGAATCGATGCGGTTCATTCATTGTACTGCTTTAGTCAAAGCAATAATATACTGAATCAAATCATCAAAATTTAATCCAAAGCTAAATTATGTTGGTAAAATTTACAAACTCACAACTATCTTCTGACACGTTTACTTTTCACGATTGAATACAGTCACCGACATTTATTTTGGCATACACCAGCATATATTGATTGACAAATGGTTGCTGTAATAATCAACTTCGTACAAAATCACAATGAATAAACTGTGAGAAAAACAACGCGGTCTCAATTTAGGTCATTATTTCAGTTTACATATTCAAAGAATATGTGACAACACTTGAAAATATAAAGGATAAACTAGCTTCTCATTTCGTTTAACGAGGACTATGGATATCAGTTGAAACTTAGAAAAATAAAGACTGTTCATCGTTTTCTTATTGCTTAGATTATTTAGTTTTTTGAATGGTTCTTATCACCAGTTTCTTCACATCATGAACATAAGCTTGCATGATATCTGATTGAATTCCAAGTCATCTCGCCTCAGTGTTGTAGACTTCACCATCGATATATTATGAATAAATTTCTGATCTGTGCCAGTGTGAGATCAGTACCTGTACACATATAATCACACTGTATGATGTTGTAATATTTCTCTGTATTCCACTTCATCAATTTTCATATTGTTACTCACAAGCCAATCTGAAATTAGTTTCCAGTTGAACATGATGACAGTTTACTTAAAAGTACCCTACATATCTTCAACAATTACGGTTGTCGGAAAACGGACTACAAAGGAGTTTTATTAAATAAAAGCAAGTTACGATATTCACTACTGTCTTGGTAATTCGTTACCATTGTAGATCACAATTATCTAAGCCAAAATAACTAGTGATAACATTGATAATAACAAGAATAATAATAATAATGGTTGAGAGTTAATTGCAGCCCTATTGTTGTGCACTTAACGGATATTATTCACTTGAATGAGAACAACGTTGAAATTAAATTTGTTTCAATTATTTTTAATCATTTCACATACATGAAGAGAATGCGCTTTGTTCACCATTAAAACTAATTAAACTTGTAAAAGTATAACTCTACTCTTTGGTTATTCGTTGTAAGTACATCCTTTTTCTCTCTCACGATGTCGATGTATAACCAATCGCCGGAAGATATATCTCTTTTCATGAATTTAATAAAAAAATTCAGAAGGATCATGAAGGATGTGATAACCAAGAGAGGAGCTGACGGAGCCTCAGATCACCAACCACTGATCACCAAGATGAAACTGAAACTCAGGAAACATAAGACGACAGCAAGAAGCTTGCTGAGAACTATAGTTAACCAGAACGAGCAGTGATAAGCAATGAAGGCAAAGTAATCAGAAACACTGAAGAACAGCGAAATAGATGGATGGAGCAATTATTAGAACTCTTGCATAAAACAGCCTCGCTGAAGCCACACAACATCAAAGCAGCATCCACAGACCACTGCAAAATCATGCTCGAAGGACCGCTGACAGACTCATTTGTGATGGAGACCGGTGTCAGTAAAGGTTGCTTACTCTTACCCATTCTCTTTGATGCAGATGAGGGGACGCAGGTTGGCAAAGAAGGGGCTGCATTTCTTCTACAGAAAAATGTCTAGAACTCAACACAACTATCAACCAACGTAATAATCAGAATTTTCAATGTATTTGTCAAGACAATTCTACTGTTTCGGGCGGACATCTGGATAACTACTACAGTCATCATCCGGTAAATAAGGGTTCATTCACAGATGTCTCTGCTAGATACTTATAATTTGTTGGTCAGACACAATCAGTAAAAAACTGTTGTAGGATAGAACAAATCAGTTTCAAGAGGATGGGGCGATCGGGAAGAAGCGCTGTGAGGCGACTGCTCACATACTGCGGATTGCACTCAACTGCGTTTCATGACAAGCTCCAACTTGAAATGCTGGATGTTCAAGGAAAAAAGGAGTGCCAAGGTACATATTACCTCGAAAACTGGCGACAGACATGGGAAGAATGAACGAAAATTGGAGGGAACTGGAAAGGGAAGCTCAGGCATGAGCTGGTTGCAAAATACTAATCGGTATCCTGCGCTCCATTCAGGTTAACAGACGTAAGTAAAATGGTAGGTTAGTAAGTAGTAATTATTAACTTACATATACATGACTCAGCGGATAAAATGAGTTCCGAATAAAGTAGGAGGAAACATTCTGCGTGAATTCTAATGTGAATAAGCTGGCAGATTGAGGCAACCTATTTCAGCTACGGAAATCTACAATAAAATTAACCACTCGTGTGAACACGATAATGACTGGAGTTAAACGCTAGCAACACTGCTCTTAAGCGTCATGGATCTGATGTTAAATGATTTTGATAATCAAAGTAGCTCTGCAGAGATCAGTGTAGTTTATGAACATTTTGCAATGAAATGTTTCAAGCGAGTTATTTCACTTACATTATTACAATGAACAGTTAGTTTCATTTATATTCTTTTCAGTGTACTTTTCTATATATACTGGAAGTAGCCCCAAAAGCTGTTTTGTATAGGAACCATTTCAAGGAATATGTCATCAAATAACTGCTGACCGCATTACTTTCGATATGTGAACTATTTATTTCCATTCAATCTCTTCACTGTCGATTTGAAAATCTGTTGAAGCGTCTGTATAATAGTTTGATAAAATCTATTTAATTCTATGTATACTGAAGATGTTTGCCTGTCGCTGTTTCTGGTTACTAAAACAATTCTTTTCTGTGATTTGTTTGATCGCAGCACTCGAACTAATTTCAAAATTTTGTTTACTCACTTCCTGTTATTATTGCTACGACTGTTATTATTATTACTATTCTTGTTCAATAACTAATATTTGCGTTCAACCTCAGATTTGTTTTTATCACATTTACTAAAATTTTATACTACTTCATATCAATTTAATTTGCAGGGTTTACATAATCAACTGTCAGCATGATTACTTGTTGTTTTAGTGTTCTTTAGCAGTTTGCCGTTCGAGCAAACTACGGTTTTCTTCTGAAGGTCACATTATAGCAGTGAGAATGGTTTCTTAAGTTATTTTCTTGTCATTATTGAACGAAGAATAAATTAGGTGAGTCTAGTAGTTCTTTTCATGCTCGCAAAGTATTCAGACAGCTGAACTTTAGAAAGACTATGCTCAGTTCCCATGACCTAATTCATTCAAAGTTTAAACAACCTTTCATCCATATATGTGAATATGATTCACTTGGATTCTATCCCTATGGTACACAAGGACTAGTTGAAGAAAACAATTTTTTATTGCGAATTGATCGAGAGAATTTTGTTTGATTTTGCAGTGTGTTCTATATACAACCTTTGATTTACTTTACATCGATCATGAATAACACCACGTCCACTACAAGGCAATGGACCACTTTTGAGAGTTACATATAAATTTACATCAGTAATGAAATTTGAGCCCTAATGCTGGGTGGAACGTGTGGATTAGTATAATCTTTAAAATCACATAAATTGAAATCAGCACATATGATTGAAGGTGAATCGATAAACTGTATCGGTACGACGTTGTTTGTTACACCAACGAATACAGATGTTTCAGATGGGTTTTAGTCAATGTGAAGTCCAGAGTCTTGAACATATTAGTAGCAATATGATTACATTAAAACTGTAGGAATCAATAAGAACAAGAAACACTCACGTATACAAGGAAGGATTTTCATAAACGAAACCTTCAAAATTGGATATTACAGTTACTGCTAACCTTATAATTGATAGCTTCTTGAACAGTGTAATGCACAGACCTGTTTACTTTCAAAGGTTTGGCCTAGTGAGTGCAATGTGGCTTATCTTTTTTTAGGGATCAACATGTACACTTCAAGTATACCTGCATATACCAACTAGACGCAAGGAGACTCATGCAAGTCACATATACGACATTTGTATGAATATGTATATACATAGACGATGACTGTATCTTGCAATCTAATCGAAGTGTGGTCTTCGAATAATTCAGATATGCGAAGCGCTAGATTGGTCCCATCTCTATTGACAGCCCTACAGCTCTATCTAGAGGCTTCATATCTGAAATCACTGCTCGTTCTTACTACACCTACTTCGTCTGGATGAATCAGTCTCACAAT